TCTCCTATGGCTAAGCTCATTTCCAAGCTGAAGGCGAGTTGAGCACTATAACGGGGAAAGTCGCAGAATCAGATAATGGCTCCTTTAAATAAAGGGCTTCTATTTGTCCATTTAACAGCAAAATTCAATTATATTGAGTGATTCAATACATTATTTAAAAGAACTGACTCAAACGTCAGAGCTTTTTTGGGGGAGGCTCATAAAAAATATTCACACTTGTTAAAACTTGGAAATTAAAATGAAGCTCAGGTCTTGAATGGGCATTACACTGCAGGATGATTGCTGTACATCAGCTAATCAAGGGAGATAGGTGAACTGAGGACACTGGGACACTGAGCACAAATGGTCCTTTTATGAGCAATTCAGAGAGAAGACGCTAAGAGGAACAGGGGATAGCAGTGAAAAAGTGCAGCCTATCGTTGTGGGTTTCAAATAATTTTTAGCGGTGTTTAATGCCCGTCTGTTTTCTGGGAAAGGCTGACCGTGTTTTGTAGCCTGAAGTCGCTGCTTGTGGGTTCCTTGCAGGGCTCAGAGCAGCCTCCGAGCTTTTCTTGATCTTCTCTACTCGGCTAAAATTTGCCAGTGGGGAGACTCCTTTTCCAGTCCCCGGTCACTCAGAAACCCCGTTTCCATTCCCTTATTCCTGTAATATGTCTGCTGGATGGACTCGTTCCAGGGCAGCTGACAGAAAATGCATCATGGGATCAAGTGCACACTTAGCAAATTTGCGGATGACACTAAGTGCGGTGGAGTCTCAGACGCTGTGGAGGGCAGGCCCAGGATCCAGAATGATCTGGATAGACTGGAGAAAATGGTCCACAATCAACCAGGACCAGTGTAAAGCCCTGCACTTGGGATGGAGTAATTGCATGCACAGATACAGACCGGGGAATGGCTGGCTTGGTGACGATAGTGCCGAGAAGGACCTGGGGTTTTCGGTGGACCATAAGCTGAATATGAGCCAGCAGTGTGCCCTTGTTGCCAAAAAAGCGAACAGCCTCCCGGGTTGTATTAACAGGAGTGTCACTTGCAAATCAAAGGAAAATATTCTTCTGTTCGATTCGGTATTGGTGAGGCCACACTTGGAGCAGTGTGTCCAGTTTTGGGCCCCACATTTCAAGAAAGCTGTGGACAGATTGGAAAGAGTCCAGGGCAGAGCAACAAACATGATTAGGGACCTGGAAAGCATGACATGAGGAAAGACTGAAAGAACTAGGGTTATTTAGTCTGGAGAAGAGAAGGCAGAGGACGAGGATTTGACAGCAGTCTTCAAAGACCTGGAGGGTGACTCTAGAGGGATGGAGAGGAGCTTTTCTTTGTGGCCGTAGGGGACAGGACTAGGAAGAATGGTGTCAAGTTGCAGGAGGGGACGTGTAGGTGGGAGATTAGGAAGAACTTTCTGACTTTGTGAGTGGTCGGGCATCGGAGTGGGCTGCCTGGAGAAGTTATAGGTTCTTCATCCTTGAAAACGTTCAAAAGCAGGTAGACAGACACTTGGCTTGGATGGTCTTGGATCAGGGATGATCCTGCATTGAGCAGGGGGTTGGACGAGATAACTTTGCGAGGTCCCTCCCAGCCCTGCTTTCCTATGATTCCTATGATTCCTCTAACTCATCTTTCTGCTTATGCGCAACAAGGTGACTGCCGCAGTCAAGTCAGTGAGAAACAAGAGCGCTCAGGACCTGTCAGGTTCATGGTCACAATGGAGAATGGTAGTTAGTGATACTGTGCATTAATATCCAGACCCTGTTTTGGAAGAAAAATCCACTGGGATATGTAAATCCTTCAAGGAAAATTAATGGAGGCTCTGATAGGAACGGTAGATAGTGCCACCTTGTTCCTCCTCCAAGGAAGAATATTGATTTGAAGTATGCATTGATTTTAAATATGTTTAAATTCCAACAACCTATGCTGTCCCGTAGCCACACACATAATGGTGGGTTTCTTGAGGGCAGGCTGGAGCTCTCAAAGCATGCAGTGATTGCTTTTCCTCTTCAGAGGAAAAGAAAGCTGATTCTTTGAATTCCCAGATCAGTCAGGAAAGTGTTGACAGGACGTAATTGCAGCTCCAGTTGTGAGGTAAGGTGGCACCTTTGTTGTTTTGAAGCTCTTTGAGAGATTCTCTTCTGATCTAAAGGTGGTCGTCTTAGATCGCTTGTTTTCTCCAGCGAGTGAGATAAAAAACTTTCCTGGAGTTTGCACTGGGTTAGGGATGGAGAGAACTGTATGCATCATAGTATCATAGTACTTCAGGTCAGAAGGGACCTAAAGAGATCATCAGGTCCGACCCCCTGCCCCGGGCAGGAACGGCTGCTGGGATCATATCACCCAGCCAAATATCTGTCCAGCCTCCTCTTGAAGACCCCCAAGGTAGGAGAGAGCACCACCTCCCTTGGGAGCCCATTGCAGAGCCTGGCAGCCTGAACTGTATGCTGAAGGTGTTGGCAGCCCCTCCCTTAGTTTTGGTTGTTAGTCATACTGGGCACATCTACCTGTGGAATGAACGTGCCTGAATAAACTCCAGAGCATTTTGTCCCGGAGTTTATTGCTCCTGGGCACAGCATTTACATATTTGCCCAGGACCACAGCATGTTGAGCTGGGGCGGTGCTTCGGTGTGCCCCAGCCATCCTCACCAGTGTCTACATGTGCGTTGCAGCGGAGTAAATAACTCCACCATAGGATAGCACTCGTGTCTCCCACAACGGAGTTAATTAGTTTGCTCTGTCCTAATACCACTGTACGTGTAGATAGTGATGTTTTACCACGGATGTTACTGCAGAGGTAGTCTACTCCACAGTAAAGTGCATGTGTAGATGCACTCGCTGCATAGGAATTGTCATATTGCAACCTTTTTATCTCTATTCTAGCTCAGGGGTGGGCAGTTATTTTGGGTGGAGGGCCGCTTACTGAGTTTTGGCAAGCCATCCAAGGCCGCAATGACAGGCAGCCAGGGGCAGATAAATATTAATTTTCTAAATTTTTTAGGGGCCCCGTGGGCTGGATAGAATGGCCTGGCGGGCCGCATCCGGTCCACGGGCCACATTTTGCCCACCCCTGCTCTAGCTGAACCAGCAGCATAACCCTGCACCTATGCTTTGGAGGATGGGGAATAAACACCTTTCTCCCCATATACCGTACCTGGCCAACTATGGAATAATCCAGATTCCAGCTGGCTGTCAGTTTACAGCCTAAAGGACAAGGTCCTTGTAATTCATAACTAGGTCAATTTAACTGCAACATTATATTTTTATTCATGTAATCTTTCTATGTTAATCTGGGGTCAAATTCTCCCCTTGGACACATTGGCTCCCATTGAATTCAACAGAAGTTGTGTGTGTGAGAGCAGAATTGGGAGCTGTATTTGCCAGGGCAATATCCTGCGAGAAAGAATGGCACGGTTTAGTTATATGCTATGTACAAAATAATTTCCTTGTATTTGTTGCTTTTTAATCTCGGTGAGTATCTCTTTGTTGCGTTGTGAGGCAGAGTGAATAGAACCCCACATGATTTCATTATAATTTTCATGGTTGCATGTACTGAACCTCTGTCGTATCCCCTTTTACTTCTCTACATTCCAGACTAAATTTAATCCTAATCTTTTAAATCTCTTCTTGTAACTAAACCCACCTCCTCTCTGCTTCACTTTGCATCTCCTCATTTCCATTTCTCTTCTCTATTTCAGCTCGGAGATAAAGCAAACACAATTGATTGCAGTATTTGAGATTTGAGATTAAGAGGCACCATTGCTGGATATAATGCTCGCGTACATTTTCTTTGATATTCTCTATCTCCTTAATATATCCTGGCATCCCATTTACTTTTTTCACTTTCCTTTGCGTCGTGCCAATGTCTTCACTGAGCTCTCCCTAATGACTCTCAGGCTCGGTGGCCCCTCGTTTGGAAGCAGCTGATTCAGAACCCACCAACAGGCCGGATTCAGCTGTTTGCTACACAGCCAGAAACCCAGATTAATTCTACAGAAGTCAATTGAGTTAATCTGGATTAATCCTAATGTAAATGACATCCCAATCTATCTCAGTGTGTTCAGATGGCATGCTCAGGATCTCCCCCCAATGTAAGATTGGTTACCCTGTTTTCTTTTGGTTATTATTTCCTTTTATTGAAAACGCAAATGTAACGGAGACTAGAATCTGCAATTTTTGCACTTACAGAAACCTTCTAATGGCAAAAGAAATATATTGTTTTCATTTATGAACTTTTTATACACACCAAGACAGTGCCTAGCATAATATGTGCTGATCTGAACTGAGGCCTCTGGGCATTATGGTCAGATAAATATTAAGCAGCTACAATAAAAGGAAATCAAGCGGCCTGATCTTCTGCATTTGGTGAAGCCAGGTCTCTTCCTGCAAGCACCGGGAGGTGGGGTGTGTAAGGAATGAAGGTTAGGGTTCATAAAGTAACCAAAAATAGGAATAATGCATTGCCTTGTGGTTCCCTCCCTGAGTTTCATCTGCTATCAGAAAGCTGTCACGCACTCAGATCCTCTCACCGAAACCCATTGTGTGTTCAGTGGGCTGGGTAATACATGCTAGTCTATGCATTATATTGTACAAATATGTTCATTTCTTGGGAACACAGGACTGAAAGGGGCCTCTGGGTTGTCGAGTCCAATCCCCTGCGTTCACAACACCGTGTCGCATAATATTAGTTTGAAAGAAATACTTAACTGCGATTTACATTTTTCCAAAAGTTGGTAAATGGCAATAATAAGGTCATTCTTACTTATCCTGGTTTTTTTCTTCTTTTCCCAGCTAGTTTAGCTCATTCTGGGCCTTATCCAACCTGACAGTTGTCTCCTTGTGAATAACTTTAGAGAAGGCTCGGACTAACAGGAGCGTGAAGGGAAAACACAACTACCTTCCCTACTTTGTCTTTTGAAAAACAAAGACATTGTGCTTCCCGTCTCGCTATCAAGTGACAAATACGCTGTAGTTCATGCTTACCGCTAATATCAGGCTTTGTATTGTCTTTTAAGGTAAAACTGGCCACGCGGAAGTTGTTCGAGTGGTGTATCAGCCAGAAAGCATCAGCTTTGAGAAACTGCTCAAGGTCTTCTGGGAGAAGCATGACCCGACACAAGGTAGAGTGATGAGTGAGCCAGTATTTAATTATCTTACTAATTACAGCTGGGATAATTAGTGTTTGAGCTGCATGGAAGAGATGAACCTTGAAATCACACAGGAGCTCAAGAATATGATTGCAGACATTTATTGACAGAGAAAGAGAGGGAGCGAGAGAATGAGGATACAGCAGCTCACAATACCCCTCCCCCTTTACAGCTGTCTGTGCTGGGAAAATTCCCACAGAGAGAGACACTAGACAATAGAAAATCCTTTCACCTTTGATTATGACAGTTTTTCCTTAATGCTCGCCTTTGTCTCCTAAATTAAAGCATATTTCTCTGCAGCTTCAAAGTTGGCCATTTTATTCAAGCGCAGAACCTCTATCCTCCCCGAGTTTTGCATTCTTCATCTTTTGAAAATTACTGTGGGTATCTTTTACGATTAGAGAAAACGAGCAAAACGAGGCAAGGCACGAGGCTCAGAGGCACCAGCAGTGGCAGCGTATTAGCTGCTTGCCTTATTCAAGCATTTTGGTTTAATTTATCCTCCCTGGAAGTGGCTGCACGATGACATTATGCACATCTGTGCAAACATAAATGAGCAACTGCACTGAGAAAACATTTTACGCGTGCATGCCGTTTCAATAAACATCAGCTCGGATATGATGCCTAGAAATATTATGCACAGTAGTGCATTTCCATTTTTTTTCCAAACGGGTCACTATTATTATTCAAGAGAATACACCTGGGAACCAAAAATGCAGATTATACAGCTACGAAGAGAGATTTTTGCTTCAAAGGCAGTGGTTTAGGGAAGGGTTGTGGGGTCACTGTGGATAGCCACGTCAGCATGACCTCACCGTGCAGTGTTGTGCCAAAAGGATCCAACGCAACCCTTGGCTGCTTAAAAAGGGGAGTATCAATTAGAAGCAGGAACTTGATCTTGCCCCGTGCATAGTATTAGCATGATTACTTCTAATATGGCATGTCCAGGTCTGGTGTTCATACTTCAGGAAGGCTCTGGCATGACTAGACCGTGTCCAAAGGACAGCCACATTAATGACCCGGAAAAAAACAAGCCTTCCAGTGTCAGGCTTAAGGAACTCGACTTATTCAGTTGACTGAAGCGAAGTGAGAGGTGGCCTCATCACTCGGTACAGGAACATATGCATTGAAAAATAATTGAATAGAGGGGGCCTTTCAATCTTGCTGACAAAGGCACAACAAGATCCGATGGCTGAAGTTAGGTAAATTCAACCTTGAAATGAGACTGCTGTTTCCCAGCTGTGAGGGTAATTAAACCTTGGAACCGCTTTCCGTCGGAGGTGATGGACACACCGTTGCTCAGTAGCTTTAAAACAAAATTAGGTGTCGTTTTAAAAGATGTGCTTTAATCCAGCTGCTAGGGCACGTTCCATGTTTCGTGCTTGCAGGAAGGGAGAGTGCATGGAAGGGCAGGTAGCAATCCCTTCTGGGACCTGTTAATTTGTTCATTCCCTTCCTTCGGGGCAGCACCACACCTAGCCTCCTGGCAGCCCCAGGCGAACTTTTAGTACCGGGCCCCCCTTCGCCAGAGACAAATGATAATAATAATTAAAAATTTACCATTTTCAGGCCTCCTTTCTGTCCAGGCCCAGGGTGGCCGCCCAGTTTGCCCATGCCTGTGTCCAGCCCTGCTTCAGGGTCATGCGGAGAAGAGTTTGCTTGCATTGTCTTCAACATGCTCAGAGTACTCAGGACTAACTTCTACTGTGTCACTAAGGCATTTCCAAATGTAGTCTCTGTTTTTTCCAGGCTAATGAACCAGGGGCAGGGAGGCATTCTGCTTCGCATGTAGGTGTCCTGTGCTTTCAGTGGAGCGTGAGTGTGCCTCTGGGCGTCTGTTCTTCTTCAGGACCATTTCAAGGGGCAGCAATTAGATCTAACGTGTGCTAAGATGCATCTGGTCATAATACTATTTCCTCCAGACTATGTAGATGTTTTAAAGGCATTCGTGCCCTGAGCAACAAAACATCTATGCAACATCTAACTACATTTGCCTGAGAGAGAGCACTGATTTCCCTATAAAGTTTTTCCTCCTCCTCCTCCTTTCATAAGTAGCTTTATGGCTAGAGTATTTGTCTAGGATATGGGAGAGTTGGGTTAGATGCCCTTCCCTTCCGAAGCTCAGTGGGTTTCTACCTATATCTCTATCTGCTACAGCTCAGAGTGACCTAACCACCAGCCTGTTAGTCAGGTTTGGCTGAGATCCTCCTCCTCTTGAAGCTGGTCCATTGATTGAATGAAAGGGAGAAAGCACCCTCCCCAGAAGAGGAGTTCTGGATTGTGGTTCCTGCTTCCAAACTTTATTCATTGGTTTTTCATTTGCCTCCTGTCCCTCAGAGCCACTTTTTGTTTAGTTTAGTTTCTCAGTTAATTGGCCAGGTTTGGGGTTTTTTTAACATAAAAAGAGAGAAGACAAAAAGAGATGCCTGTCTTGTTCATGGCCCATGTGGACCCAGCTGCCAGAGTCTGCTCCTCATATTTCATTGATAAAGGTGGTACTAAGTCCAGTGATGACTTTGAACAGTGGCTGGCAACCTCTCTGAGCCATGGGCTAGAATAATCTGGCTCTGGTCCAGTGCAGGCCAGGGGGCTTCAGCAGTGGTGGTGGGCTTGGGGACATTGCAGAGGTGGGGGGCTTTGCTCATGCCTGTGCCTGTGCCTGGTCCAAACAGGAGGAGCTGTGCTGGGGCTGGGGCAGGAAAAAGTGGCCACAACTTGGGTGCAGCTACTAGCTGTTTGGTCCCAGTGCTAGTCCCCACTGCCAGGCTCTAGTAGAGGCATGGGCAAAGCCTGCCCGCTGCCAGAACATCACCAAGCCCCGCCACAGCTCTTCAGGCTGGATCCAGTGGCTTCATGGGATGGATTTGGCTTGTAGGCTGTAAGTTGCTAACCCTTGACTTGGAAGAACATCTGCCTGGAAAAGGAAAGTTATATCTGACCTGGTTCATCTTGAAGAGCTCTGGTTGACTACATCTGGTCCTCTCTAAATTCAGCATGAATGTGATGCGGTCTCCATGTCCGTTATACTGACCTAGGGAGACGACAAGGTGTCTAAACTTGCTCTCTGTTCATTGAATTTGACGTTCAAAGGATCTCGGTCTGCATCAAGGCGAGAATCTGAAACGACCAAAGGAGAAAAGGATCTTAGATATAAAGCAGTTGAGTACAAAACTGTGGTTGACTAATACAGACCTGGATCCATGGCCAAAACCAAGCCTGCATTTGGATCTGTCAGCCATGCTGGCATCTTGGAACTTGATTTGGCAGCTGGACCAGAAGGACTTCCTAATGCGATTGCCAGGGACCTGGCCAGCATTATATTTTCAGGCCTTTGACTATTGCAAAGCTGTTGGCTAGTAGTTTTGCAACTCTGAAGGCCTGGAAATGCCCAGGTCAGCGGCGTCTGCCACTATGGTTCCATTACTGATTCTTTCTTGGCTGAGTGGCAGGGAAAAAGAGAAGCCATATGGAAGGCTGTGCAACATTGGAAAAGGGAAGTGCTTTGCAAGCTTCTGATCTGACCTAGGATAATGGATCTTGCAGTTCAGCATTGTGTCTCTTGTCAGGTCATATTCAGACATACACGCACAATGCCTTACTTGTCTGGTGGAGCATATTTCCCCTTCTGATGTTCTATCTATAAGCATTTCAGTAAACCTAGCATAGATTCCTCCTGTTTTGGAAGGAACAACATTTAGGGGTTGATGCATCCATCACTAGTACTTAATTGTGCATGAGGTGTGTGTCTTGGCCACAGTGCAAATAAGGGTTAGCCACTTTCCATAACTGTCCAGCTGTATTAACCCCACATGGGCCACTGCACAGCTCTGCATTGCAGAGACAGCGCTCGTAGTTATTTCCTGAACGGTTCCTGATGAATTCTTCCTGCTGCACCAGGCTCTTATCAAAGCACAGCTGCCAGCAATATCTGACGTTCTTCAGAGAATCATTTCTATGTCTCCCGTGTATATCTGTCATTGCCTACCTCTGATAGGAGTCAAGGAAGAGCTCTATCAATAAAGCTTTCTGTGGCATTAAGTGTCTGGCTGTTATGGCTGTTCCCCCTGAAAGTTTGGGTGTCGGGGCCTGGGCCTTTACTTGCAGTGAACAAGTTTCTTTACCAGGGCAGTTAGCTGGTAATTTTAATAACAGGTTACATCTAGGACTTTTGCAAGGCTTTACTAACTTTTCTTGAAACTAGAAGTATCTGAGCCACAATGACTCAATGCTCTTTAGCTGCATTATTTTGTAAGACAGGAGCAATCTCCCCAGAGACTCTGTATCACCTTCCTATATTTTGAGAAGGTGGAGGGGATTCTTCATTGGATCTCTGTTCACTCTCTGATTCGTAGTTTTGCTGGGAGACATGGTTTCGCATAAAGGTCCTGGAGGTGAGAGCTATTTCTGTGACACAAATGACCTTTTTCCTCCATCAGGAAATGCAAATTTGTCTAAATTCTGATGGACAGCCTTAAGGAAAAGCATTACATAGACTCTCAAAGTCAGCAGTTGCTCTAACCAGTTGGATCAAGAAAATCTCTTGTTCCAGATCCAATATCGATAAGATGATGCAGCGACAGACTTCGTGAGCAGAGTTTTAATTCAGTAGGGCTCCATCATGTATTAACCTTTCCCCACAAGTGGAATAGATATTGATTACAATTTTTTTCCCCCTTCAGCAGGTATAATATCCTTGTCTAGTTCTGATCCAAAAATAAGCCAGTTTGTTAAGACTGCATCAAGTGTAAGAATTCCTCTATGATTTGCCTCCATTTCTTTTGCTGTACGAGCCCTCGGGTGGCGGTCCAGTTAGTCCTGAATTGCTTTGAATAGCCATGGTTAGAGACTGGCAACTCTGTCATGCAGTATCATGAGTGTAATATTAATACCCATTAAGTCCTATGTTAAAAGTTTCTGGTACATTCAGAGTCCCTACTAAGATGTACACTTTAACTCTGGATTGCTGGGATCCC